GCTTGTTTTTCAGTGACCTTCAAACTCCATGAATCTCCATTTTCCCCCTTTTTTAAAAATGTTTTATTGTTTTCTCACCTCAGCTGCTCCCTGAACTGGTCCTTCTGCTTCAGATCCCCAAAGTAAGCAGAACGGAGGCGGGGGGGGCAGTTTCTGGTGGCTGGGCCCAAACCCAGACGGATTCACGCCGGGTGGCAGGGAAATGAGCACGCTGAAAAATGTCAGGACATTCGGGCTTGGTGATTTAACCCTTTAAAGCCTTTTTTAAAAGTCTTTATTTGGCCCTTTAAAGAATCATTAAACAAATTAAATTATTTTGGAATATTCATAATTTATCTGTTGTCAGGCATACTGTGTTTTTCCTAATAAATCAAAAACATCTCAGATACTAATACGATGCTAATTAAAGCAAATTAATCAGTTGGACCAGATATTGGCGTTCCTGGCGTAAGCGTATCTGTAAGCGTATCGACCCATTTCCGTTTCCGGTGTTAGCGGTGTTTGTGTGGTGGTAGCGCTTTTTCTCTGCTCTCGCTAACTACCATATAACGTAACGTAATTATATTTCAGTAAGTTTGCCTAAGCACCAATAGTTCTTTCCATCTTGGGTGACTGCTGTTCTGTCTTATAGCGGATGTAACAAAAGTTCCGGTGGCCAATTCTACCGTACTTTTGTTTAGCCGTTAGCGACTTTAACAGCTAGCGATGGCTTCTCCCTCTCGCTCTCCTGCTCTTTCTTGCTCGGTGTGTCTGATGTTTAGTTACTCCTCTGCATCCTTTAACGGTAGTGGTATGTGTAACAAGTGTAGTTTATTTCTAGACATGGAGGCGAGGCTCAGTGCGTTAGAAGCTCGGCTCCGCACCGTAGTAGAGCAGCCCTTAGCAAGGCTAGCTAAGTGTAGCCAGTCCCAGGTAGTCGGTGCGGACCGACCTGAGTTAGCTGATAGCCGTCCCCCCCCCCTTAAAAAGTATCGATACTTAAAAAAGTATCGATACTAAAATGTTGTATCCGGATATGATACTCATTTTCAAAAGTATCGATACCACCGCGCGAGCCCGTGCGAGCCCGCGCAAGCGCGCGCGCGACGCTGACCTGCCGTCGCTGCGCCCCTTCTCTCAGATTTATTTATGAATTTATTTACGTTGTTTATGATCATTAACGTGACGTTAGCCTTGAACTGCTAGCTGCGGCTAATGGCTAATAATAACATGCTACCATTAATCAAGTACCCGTCTCAGCCCACATCCAAATTGGCCATTTTGATTACGTCACCAAAAGGAAAATCCCAGGCAAGAAAATAGTAATGCCTCATGGCAATATAAACATTAATTTAAAAATTGTGAAATTAATCTTTCAAACACCTAATTAAACTCTATCCATAATATTATGTTGAAATAGTGGATGTTAAATAGGTTTGTACAATAAGTCCAAACAAGTTTAACCCAAAAATTGTTTCTCACAATTATGAAGGGTGGAGGGTTAGGGTCAGAGGCAGGGTCAGGGTTAGGGTTAGGACTAGGGTCAGGATTAGGGTAATTATTTCGGGCCACCAGCCATCAGTAACAGGTCAGTTTGAAATGAAAGACACTCCCTGTCAAAATTCAGTAAAATTTTGGGGTCTTTGTTTTTATCCTTGTGGTATCGAAAATGGTATCGAGTATCGAGTATTTTCCTGAGTATCGGTATCGAGTTCAAAATTTTAGTATCGTGACAACCCTATCAGCGAGCCACCCGCTGAGAAACCAACCTTAGTCATAGCCAGCTCGATTCTGAGGAATGTGAAGCTGAACACCCCAGGGAGTGTAGTTAAGTGTATTCCTGGGGCCAGAGCGGGCGACATTGAGTCTTATTTGAAACTTCTGGCTAAGAGTAGACGTAGACACAGTAAGATTGTTATCCACGGAGGCGTTAATGACTCCCGGTTACGTAAGTCAGAAGTCACTAAGTTAAATGTGGAGTCAGTTTGTAGATATGCTAGAACAATGTCGGACACCGTAGTTTTCTCTGGCCCCTTGCCCAACCTGGTTAGTGATGACATGTTTAGCCGCATGTCATCTTTCCGTCGATGGCTGGCGAGGTGGTGCCCAGCCAATAATGTGGTCTTTGTGGATCGCTGGCAGTCTTTCTGGGGAAGACGTGGCCTGATTAGGAGAGACGGCATCCATCCCACGGGGGAGGGAGCCGCTCTCATTTCTAGAAACCTAGCCAACTTTGTTAGCAGACTAGATCGGTGACAGTCCAGGGTTGAGAGGAGGAAGCGGAGTTGTAATGTAACCCTCTTCTCTGCTCCTCCATTCCAGGAGTTACTTAGTGAAAAACCTATAGAGACGGTGTCTGTCCCCCGGTCATTGAATTTTTTTAAATCAAGGGTAAACAGAGGAGTTGTCCATAGAAACCTCATAAAAGTTCAAACCACAAGAGAAATAGTGCATGCAAATAAGAGAGTAAAATGTGGACTTTTGAATATCAGAGCTCTCTCTTCTAAAGGTGTGCTTGTAAATGAACTCATATCAGATTATAAGATTGATTTATTGTCTTACTGAAACCTGGCTGGGTGATGGAGAATATGTGAGCCTAAATGAATCCCAGTCATAGGAATACTCACATTCCTCGAAGCACAGGTCGAGGAGGTGGAGTTGCAGCTATCTTTGACTCCAGTCTTGTAATCAGCTCTAAAGCT